AATCTCTGGAAACGTGAGTCTGCCACCATTTTCTCCTCTTCAAGTTCGAGAATCAATTCTCCCACTGAACCTGAACTAACCGCAGTGTCTTTCCCTCACCTTTCAGTTCCGGTTGAGCAGTGTTCAGAGCAACACTGCAATCTCCACCAAACTTCCCAATAAACCTGTTAAATTTTCTCCCTTGTCTCTCTGGACTGGTTAATCTGCATGTGGGTCCGAGCTATTGATAAAATCATGACATCCCTGCTATTCTAAACCCTTATACATCCTAAAAGTTAGATCGAACGCTGAGATTCAGTTGTAAAGCCAGTGAAACTCACCTCCACCATCTTTTCGATGTGAATCTTAATGATCGTCGGGTCAGCATTGGGCTTTACCGACACAGCCCACTCATCAATCATGGTGGATTTGGGTTCAGGCGCAGGAGCAGGACTGGAGTTCTGCTGTAAAATGAGGAAACAAACATCATGAGTTTAAGGTTAAACCACAGAAGCAGAGAGAAAACAATATAAACAGAAGCTTAAAAACATTTTTTTAAAGGTATTTACATTGTTATTACCTGTGTTCAATTCTACAGTTAAACAGAATAAATTATTCTAAAAACAAAAACTGTTCATCACTGAAACATTTTTAAGTGATCTACAGTTGAGGGTCGGTTAGAAACATAAATTGATATGTTTTGCATTACGACAGGCTTTGAGAAAATATTATTTCAAAACTGTAGCGTAAGATTGCTGAAATCAGTGATTCTTAACCTGTTTCTCTCGTTGATTGTGTGATTCCTGTTCTTACCTATGTTCCTGTTAGACTCTATCAAATATTTTAAGTATACTGTCTATACCTAATACTGAAGTTGCCCAAACTCTCTGAACACACAACACTCTCCACATTTATTGAACAAGTTAATTTAATCAAATTAATAAATTCTAACTCTGTATTTTCAGTAGTTTTTGAGTGTCTACAGATCTTTCTACATCCGTTATAAATCACATCCACTTTCAGTGGCTTGATATAACAAACCTCTGTAGGGAAATAACAACAGCCTCTTTTCGATTGCTTTTGGAAAACCTGAGGCTCTGTTAAAAGCCCAGGGTCCAAATTTACCAGGGTAATTTCACTTTCTTGAGGCTTAAGTTTAATATATAAGACATCCTGTTCTGGGGTAGAATTTTCCAAAATCCTTCAAGATTGTTAAGGTGGCAGGGATGCAAGCAGCAAGACAAGGCATTGCATCCCCCAGAGAATTGAGGGGCTTAGTGTTCAAATTACATAATTTCATTGGGGCTGTGCTATTTTACCAAAAATCTAAATTTTAACTTTTTGACCAAAATTGCAAGTACCATTTATTTCGGTTTTCATATGTAAGGACTTGAAGACTAGCTGCAACTCATATCTTCCTTTCAATCAAGCTGAAAACCCATTTTAAGCATTTCATTAACACCTAAAAGGCCAGAGTTACAAAGTTTGTGTCTTTCTCTTATTAAATGTAACATAACCAAAAGTTGCATGCCTCAGCCTTTTCGGGAATTGTGTTTTTATACTGGTAATATATCAGAAAAAGTAGTTTCAGAATGTTTTTAAGCCAGAAAGTAGAGTATATAGTATAGTAGACAATAGTCAGTTCATCCAAACTATGAGCCTGATTTTAAATGTGCTTGTTTTGCTTTTTTAGAGGATTTAGAGGATTTGCTTTGGGAATCCCCAGTTACCACACTTTTGTGAACACTTTTGTGGATACTTTTTCAGTATCAGTATCTGGCTTTACATCATTTGAACTGTATACTATACAATACAGAATATTATTCCTTAAAACATAAAGCTGACTAATAGCTTCTCCATTATTAAACTGGTACGTTTGTGACACGATATTGGACAACGCAAAACGCAGATTTGCCTCCATAAAGCCTCAGAAGGGCAACATTTATGTACAAAAAGAAAACCTGTGCATGAAATTATATTTTTGTTTTTATAAAGTATTTTTATAATCTCTTTTTGCATTCATATAAATATACTAGAGTGATAAATTTGTATACATTTGATTGCTTTTTGGTAAAGGTCTATTTTGAATTTATAGCCCCCCTGGAGAAAACTCCACCAGCCGCCACTACTAGCAACTGATCATTCCTGTTCAGTTTCAAATGGTAAATTACCACATAATGTTGCCCAAATCAATACATTCATGAATCTAGAGGTGTTAAGGGTAATTATATGAAGATTAAACCAACCATGGGAATAGGGAAGAAAATCTAAACAAAACCAGTGGCTGGTCTGAGTTTCTAAAAACTACAGACATAGATTGTAGGATTTTCAAACACGACCATCTAAGAAGATCCTGAAAAAAAGATAACATCAAGTGAGTGGGAAAAAAAATCCCACGTTGGTAAAATGGTGCAGAGGATATTTCTGGTACCCTTTGGGCTTCTTAGTTTAAACTGACATTTCTTGTGAAAGGTCATAACTGCAACTTAAAGTTAACCTTTTCAAAAATAATACATCAGCGGACCGCCTAAAGTGGTGCAGAATGTATTAATTTACCTGAAAAAAACAACAACAATGTGAATAAATACTTGTTTAATAAATTGCGACAAGACGTATTAAGAGAAAAGCATTCTGCACCAATAGCCAAGGTTGGCTGAAGCCATGTTAGACAGAGCTCAGCATTACTAAGATCTTAGGAGCTCCCTGATAGAGCAGAGAAATTGCTTATTTTATGTGTTTTGTGTGATTGCACATAAGATTCTTGTTTTCAATTAGTTCTACTGCTGTACAATGAAAATAAATAAATTCCAATTGTTTGATCCTAGCATTAGCAGACCTGGCAACAAGCTGGCAAGTATTACGGAATGAGAGGGTGAGTACACCCCTACTGGCCGGGAGGAGTTAAACTTTTAGCTATCACCTTTAATTGCAGTGCCAAAATGATTTTTTTTTTCCTGACCATTTGCATCCCTTCTATCTGTACAAAGGAAAAAGCAAAACATTTCTTATAAAGTGGTTAGTAATTGTTTTTGCCGTACAACTGGCTTGCGAGGTTCTCTCTGTAGAGACATCTGGTAGATCTCTTCCTCAGTGTGGTATTGATCCAGTGATACCTGCAGAAAAAAACATGAGTGAGTGAACATTGTAGAATTAGACATTAACCTCTAAAATTTTTTGATGCATGCTTTCAATGAGGATAAAATCTTTTACAAGAAATAAGAATAAAATGTATTACTAATTGTCTAAAAGCTGTGTGGGTTACAATGTGGCTTTTCACTTGTTTTCAATGAAACAGTTTGATATATTCTTTAAAGGGGTCATAGAACGATTATATATGATGTTGTGCTGGTCCTTAAGGTCTCTGAATAGGGTGTGTAACATTGGTCGGGCTGAAAATGGCATACTTGCTGTTCTATTAGCCCTAATGCAAGCCTGGTTAAAAGCCCTAGAACGAGACGACAGGTTTTCTTCCTTTGATGGTATGCTCATGAATATTTAGATGAGCTGTGCACTGATTGGTTGGTTTAGAACGAGAAAGACGCATCATAGCAACAAGCACTCACTTACTGAAACATCGAAATGGTTTATATATGGTAGGGTGACCAGACGTCCTCTTTTGTCCTACTTTACTTAAAAAACGTCTGAGGGGAATTTCAAAATCGTCATCCGTGCGCGTCGGCTAACGTTCATTCTTCCTGTCTGCTGAACTGCTGCTAGTTTTACTCACATGCCTGAAAGAGGTGTCTAGTGCTACGACCACAGATGGTCTCGCTCTCGAAATGGAATTGAAAGATTCAGATTAGCTAGCCGAATGAATAGAAGGCGTAGAGCGTAGCCGCCTGTGGCCCGGGCTGTCTGTCAAAACTCCAGTCCAGCGCGCATATGACGTAATCTGTTTTTAAAAAATGTAAATATGAAAAATATAACCGTGGATGTCTGGGGACAGTCATTCGCCTACATTATGAACAGTTTAGTTTGTGCCTTCAAGTTGTTGCCCATAGAAAGACGTTACTTGGATATTACAAAACCAAATATCTTCAGAACAGCTCCAAATAACAAAACTAATATGGGTGAGTAGAACATGATGTAATAACATAAAATCAAGGGGCCAATGTAAAAAAAAGAAACGGTGTTCCCCTTTAAGATGTGTTTTGTTTTGTGCTTAAATTTTGTGTGTCTTTTGTTCCCTGACAGAATGTATTATGGCTGCTTTAAATCTTCATTCTTGCACAGAAGCGACGGTTGTAATATGTAACTCATCATGTGAAGTTCACTCTCAGGTCACATTATGTCACCTGAGCCGGCCTCATTAGCAGACAAATGACAGATGAAGATGGCAGCTCAGGAAGTTCAGGAAGTAACTTATAAATGAGGTCTGTGAAAGCAGCTAAGAAATCAGAACAGATGTCTATAAATCGGTTGGGGACTAAAATGAATATTTTCAGTTTTTCTGTGTTTCTGTTTACTGATTATTTAGAAAGCTTTTGTTGCACTATGTGAGGCAGAATTGGAACTGGGCATTTATCACTGTGGGAAACATTGTAATGTTCTAAATGAAAAATATTTAAGGGATACGTGGGCATTTTTGCACAAAGGGATTTCACCTGTACACAGTGGGAAATGTTAAGCATAGCCGTGTATAACACCATCACCCTCTGCTCTCTCCACACTAAGCCTCTATGGCAACAGCTGCATGTATTTTTGTGCTGGGTTACAAATTAAAAGCCTCTGTCGCACATTGTCAACCACTGGCCAGTTGTTTTGCTCAGAGCCATTTGTTCATTGTTGTGCTGCTTCCTGTGTTGTAATGAGTTGCTCACCAGGGAGGAATAAAGTGTTTTTTTCTGGTTCAGCTCTCTGTTTCACCGAGTTTTATTCCACCTCAGAGCAAAAGTAAAGGGAAAAATGTTGCTGGCAATGAATATCATAACACTAGGCCAATTCACCTTCAAACAGATACTAGAGTTTGGATTTTTGGTGATATTTTATTTGATAAATCAACAAAAAAGTATAATGGTGAAATAAAAAGGAAAACTCTAGTTTTTCAAACAAGACATCTGACATCCAGCCTTCCCCTGGATAGAAGTTGCTTTATGGATCTAAAGATTATTTTTTTCCTCTGTTTTTTATTGTTAAATTTGTTAAAAATTTGTTATCTCAGTTAACTTAAATGGACAGCATCTGTAAATATATCATTTGGGGATTTTGTCCCAGATTCTGAGTTAAATTTAGGCTGAACTTTGACTAGGCCATTCAGGCACTTTAATATTATTACAATTCTGTAAACCTCCACCCAAGTCTTAAATCTTTCTAAAAGGTTTTACTTCATGATTGTCGTCTATATAGCTATATCCATTTTAGCAATGACTAACCAGTTCCACTGTAACTGCTGAATAAAAGATAGACCCACAATATGATGCCTTTTTTCCAAATCAGAACAACTCTCTTACAGGGTCTCGCAGCCCCACAGCTTTGTTTTTTTCCTGTATAAGTTCAAATTTCTAAAGTTTAATTTTCTGCAACGATCAAAAGACCAACATCATCTGCTATTATTCTTTAGGAAACATGGTACGGAAAGAATTCTGACGCAGATTACTTAAGTAGTGCTGATGTGTGCATGCCTTACCCCCCCCATCCTGTCATCCTACCCTGCCAGCTTCGTTCCTGAAAGCTCTCAGCTGTGCAGGAAACGGACATCTCCACTTCATTAGAAGGCCAGAAGCATTTCAGCGGCTACTCCTTCTTTCAATTGTGACGAAATGTTTTATGAAAGAGGCTCAAGATTTATGTGAGGATGGTGTGCTCATGATGTGCAGTGTTATTTTTTCACTGGGGGGTTTGAATGTAGGCCATGTGTAGTCGTGGTCTGAATTTGTTAAACTCTGATGGATCAAATTGTCTTGACAATCTGTCACATTCTATGGGTAACATTTCTATTCACTTGCTCAGATATATCAGTTTTGTTTTCCTCTGCATACTTCAGCTTCATAAAGTATTTTGGCTAAAATTCCTTCTGGTTCTAATGGTATTTTTAAATAATTGTTTTTCAAAAAAAACATACCATTTGAGAGTTAAATTACTGTAAAAACCCTATTCTTGTCTTTAAAGAATATGTGTTTTTAATTACCAAACATTTGCAGGAAGTTTTTACCCCTTGGAGTCTGCGAGAAGAGTCTGCACACATTTAGGCCAAATAATGTCAGAATATCTTTGATCTATGATAAATACATTCGGCATAATTGCAAACCTTTGCTACCTAAAGGGTAATAAAGGTTTGCATTAAACCAGATGACTGTTGATGACAATGACAATTCTTAATTATTTTTAAAATGGAAAAAGGAAATTCATTCTAAAACCATCTGAGAAGGTTCCATTTTCATACAAGCAAGAAAAGCTTTTAGAAGATATATTTCCGTTACAGGTTAACTACAAGATTGGGATGAAACAATTAATCGGATTAATCATGATTAATAAATTATAAAAATAATCGTCAACTAATTTAATAATCGATTAATCGTTAACTGGAGTATCAAGACTCTAAAACATGGCTTTAGCTGACAGAGTGACCCACTTAGAGCAGTAATTATACCAAGATTGTAAAATAATATGTAAACATTTCACATTTAGAAAAAAACAAACTTTCTCAACTGCCCATATGTTCTATCAAGGACTCAAGTGGAAACATTTTAGTTTCACTTGGTTCAATTTAGTAAAAAATCTTGTTTTTAAGGAACCTTTGAGTATCCGATTACCAATTGATTAATCAAAAAAAGTAATCTACAGATGAATTGATTAGCAAAATAACCGTTAATTACAGCCCTACTACAAGATCAGTCCTCTCCTTCAGCAGCTAATGTTAAAGTTAGTGTTCCTCATAATTCTCTGTGTAGCTTTTTAACCGGTTATCAGTCCTTCAGATATAT